TGCCATCATCTCGAAGTGGTCGTGGACAGTTTCTGTGCGATTCAACCAGCAAACAGCAAAGCACTGTTTTATTAGTCTGTCTAATGCCAACTAGTACTTGGAAGGGCTTTTAGTGTAGTGAATAAGCTTTCAAGATCATTCTAGGTTGGATTAATTAAGTATTCTCCACTATGATCCAATAAGGGATGTTTGAAAAAATAAAGTTGCACAATCCAATTGTGCTGATGAAAAATGTTAACCTTACCTTCAGATGGTTTCAAGGATCAATGCCCCAGCAACCCCATCTCTGACCAGGACTCCAGGTTGACTTACTGGTGAACCAGGCTGCTGGATGACACTGTACACAGTCTAATGTAGGAATTATGGTCTGGTTTATCAGGTACCCTTCAGAGAGGTTTATCAAGTTCCCTCTTGAATGCAGAAAGGTCAGCTAATTATGCACCTGATATTTAGAGTGAGGTTATCGAAACTCTTTGGGTCCTTAATATTTACAGAACCGTCTCTTCTGTACATAGAAGATTCCTTCCCCATTTTTCAATGGGGTCATTTTGCACAAGCTCCCATGCCTCCTGGTCTCATAATGTATTGTCTGAGTGCCATGTTTATAGTAACAAGGCAACAGAGTATTTTGTTCAGAAAGGAGCATTTTAACTTGCACAAAGCCTTTTGTTTATACAGTATCAGTACAATTAATGGAACACTTTTGTGCATATTTTGATAAGCCAAACTCTGTCCTCCACTGAAGAAAAATGTTTCAACTTCAAAAATGAATACAGGTACTAATCAAATAAAAAAAAATAAGATGATAAAAATCATTAAATCTAAACTAATGCCCTTCTGTGGGAAGTCACAAGTTTCAAAGTACTTAAGGCTCTGGTGATTTAGTGTTGCAGAAATTTCCCACATGTTTCCAGGTCCCTGCACATGCAAGCTTTACCAAGAACCAGGATTAGAATGTGGTTTGCCGAGGCAACCCGTGTTCAGACCAAGTTCGTTCCATCCAGCAGTTGACACCAAAGACGCATTCATACATTTTAACATGCTGTTTATTCAAATTAGGAATTTTCTCAAATGTAAATATTATAATATAATAATCATTAATATAATTACTGTACTGTGCATATTTAGGCATTGGTTAAGTTAGATTAGGTGTTTAGGTTCTGTTGGCAATTATTTGTATTTGCAGAATGTGGGTGAAGTATTTACAGCGTTGTGGTTTGAACCAAAGTCGTCAGCGAAGCACTAGTTCCAGAAGTGTTTGGACGTCATCAGTTGTGAGTAGTATGTAAACCATTTTTCATTCATAAACAGGGGTTTGGCGGGTGCATGGAATGGACTTTGGCGTTTGTTTATGGGGACAGGTTGGCCGAGGTGATAGAGCATGGGGGGGGGGATCAGAGATTCACCGAGGACAATCACCCAAACCCACCTACGTTGATAACCCTGGCTAGACAGGGGGAGGGGGGGGGGAACACCATTGGACACCTAGAAATGGTCACTCTAGGCACAAGGAGTTTGACATGAACAGTTAATCAGAGTTCAAAGGAAGCGAGACATAAAACACTCATATGAAGCAAATATAGAACAAATATATATGCAAAATGGGCCCTGCCAGAGAGCAGTGCCGAGGATGGCTAACACTTGTCTAAAAAACGGAACTAAGAATAATGTGGTAAGAATGAGGTGCATAACAGCAACATTTTATTGCATTGCAGCAGGAAGAATGACAGACTGTCTAGCTCAGGGGCACTACCTAAGAAAATGTTAGATGACAACATTGGACACCAAGCCTCAACACACATGCCAGTGCTATCTCTGATAATTTTGAGTGTATTGGTCAAGTACTGTATGCCATCATATTTATTTCATAGATTTTGGACATTACAGTACTTGTAAAAGAATGTGGCACACTGCATGAAGCACCACATACTTAAGGTGGGAAAAAAATAGAATGGTGGGGTGTTGTGGGTGAAAGATTTTGGACAGCAGTATCTATATGCGACAGCTACATGTGTCAGCATCTGTTAGATACTGGCAGGTACTCCAGGCCAGGTGTCAGTTACCTCCAGGCTGTCATAATGAGTAGTTGTATGCTGCATCTTGCTCTGCCACCCCACCTTATTTTACTCACATTTTTGTGGTGCTTGTGGTTTTACAGTGTTGTTATGGCACCCATGAAGGAACTAGGCAACAAAACCATTGGTCAGATCACTGCTTTAACCCTCAAACCGCGCATATCATATATAAATGATATCAGTGACAAAACCGAAACCGCGCTCATCATTTATATATGATTTCGTGTCTAGCGCTATAATTTAAACGCCCCGCCTGGGATAGGGGCAGCTATAGTACAGCCACGACTGATAGTTGCCAGATGCCACCTAGAAAAAAAATCCAGGCCAACATTCTTGGGTGTTAGAGCGTCAGTATTGAGCAAGCCACCAAGGCTGGTGCACGCAGCACGAGCTCACAGCACCGCTGTTCAGCTTGTGACCACAGCATCGCCTACAAATACCATAATATAAATGATACTGCTATTATTTAGCAGTGATAGTATTACTGAAGCCCCCTGACTGTGATAAAACTGACCAGGATTCTGATAATAGCAGGATTGTGGTGATATTTAGTGCTGTGCTCCATGGAGGGAGGAGTAAGGCTGTGGAGGGAGGGTTGTTGCGTCATCTTCTGACTGTGTGTGGCCACCATTTGTTGACTGCACTCGCCATACTAGCTTAGTGGTTCGCTATGGTGAACACAAGTGTAGATACTTATATATAACGTGTGTATAGTGTGAGATAACAGCGAGAGTAGGAGGTTGGGAGCCGCCATTTTGGTGAGGGAGGAGCGTCGTCTGCACGACTTGGCATGTTGTTTACTGATGGCCACTATGGTCTTTGGGCACCATACCAGCTTATTTGTTCAGGTATGGTGAATAAAACAGGTAGATACTTATATATAATGTGTGTATATAGCGTAATAACACCACAAACAATATTGTTGGAGGACAAATATTAGTGCGTCTGGCCTTGAGGGCGGCCGCCGATCAGCTGACTGTGTGAGTAGCTACGCCTTTCTGCCTTTACTCACCATACAAGCTTAGATGTACAGTTATGGTGAACAAAACATGTAAATACGTATATATAACGTCTGTCTATAGTGAATAAATACAGAAAGAGTATTATGGGAGGTAAATGAGGGTGAGTGAGGTGGTGTTGAGGGAGGGAGTGGCAGTGAGTGGCTCGCTGGTGTTTGGTGGTCACTCCTCGTTGCTTTTTGACTCACAAGACCAACTTAGTAGTTCGTTATGGTGTACAAAACATGCAGATACTTATATATAACCTGTGTATATAGTGTAACAACAGCAAAACTATTTGTTTATTGTTTTATGAACATAATAATTGAATCACTAATATGCACACCATAATTTTGAGTACAGCGATGGTTCACACATTTTATAATATAAATATACCACAATTCACTGTATGGAATAATATTACTGCAAAAAAACTAAGAAAAAATCAGAGACATTGAAATAATTAGGTAATAATATATTTGTGGCAACTGCCGTCTGACAGCTCGGGCGGAGTAGACCTCGTCTGGCGAAGGCTCTGCCAACGCCCCTTTTTTGCCACACTTCCCTACCCTATTGCGGCTAAAATATGCCACCTACGATTTTTTTGTTATTTTTTCCGTGATCAGGGAACAAAAATGAACACCTATAAGACGAAAGAATTTTTTGGATTTTTTTTTTTGTTGCGCCTGTAGGTGTGAATTCCATTTGGGCCCCTAGCGGTTTGAGGGTTAAAGGACGCAGGCCACCAAACTAAGGAAATAAGTCTGTTGGTCTGTGTGGCTAAGTCAATGGTGAGAACACATTGTGCGTGGTTCAGGGGGAGGAAAAACAGTGGTGTAACACCCATCACAAGATTTTTGGGCTGGGCATCCCAGGAAGACCTTTTAAAGGTCCTTGGACATTCTAACATATTCATTGGAGAGTACACCTCGTGTGACAGCAAGGGTAATGAAAGAAAACATCTTTAAAGTGTTTGATGCAGTCTGCGCATACTGTATCTCGTCGCATTCACAAGTTGGGTTATTCTAGAAATATGCCAGTGTCTTCCAGCATGACTGCATCTGCTCACACCACCAAATCTGTCACCAAGTGGCTTGATGACTGCATGGTACCTTTCATAAAGGATTGGCTGGGTATCAGCCCACATCTCAAACCAACCAAGAACCTCTGGCATATGGTTAAGAGGGATCTGTAGGACATGGATGTCACCTCCATACCCAAGCTCGAGGGAGCTGTCCATCAGTCCTGGGAAAACATCTCGCTGGAAACTTACCCCGACATCTCCAAACCACGAAGAGAAAAGGCCACCCAACCAAATATTAAAAGGTAAGAATACTTACCTTTTAAGTAAGGGCACCACATACTTTTGACAATTACTGTACAATAATTTCATGAAAACTAAATACAGCAAAGAAATGCATCCCCACATTATACTTCTGAATCTTTAGGAAAACAGGCTTTGATTTAGATTTCTATCATAATGAAACTACAAGGGTTACAGTATATAGATTGTGTGTTCCTATAAATTATCGAATCTGCAGTCAGATTCATTGTAATCAATTCAATAGCTTTAGTTATATATTCAACACCATTTTTATTACAAGTTTGTTACAAATGTGTGTTCTATCCTTTGCACTAAAAATAAAAACAGTTTAGCCTATAAACTACAAAAACTAATAACTCAAAATCATTTTGATCTTCAGATATAATGGACAGTTTGGTTCCAATAACTCGGAATAAATGAGAGATTAATAATATGTATGTCACAAGTTTCTTTGCACTGTTGTTCATCTATCACCCTCCTGGTATGACTTTTCCAGCAGTTTATCGTGTTTTCAGAAAAATCTGAACACAATAAAGACGTTACTAAACTAAAAAAAGAAATATGATATATATATATTCCTTAAGCCTGCCGATGCTGCCTTACCTTTGAAATCCACCTCCCCATTGCCATCTGCATCGAATATATCTATGACACGCTGAACTAGTGGGTTCTGCTGAAGTTCGGGAAGAGACATGAACTCTTCCACAGAAAGAGAACCAGAGTTGTCCAGATCCAATTTCCGGAACCTCTTACCAAGTCGGCGGATTTCATCGGCATCAACTGCAGGGGAATTTTTGTGCCAAGATTAGTGAGTAAGAGCCGTAGATGTAGGATCAATAAGTCTCAAACTCCAACTGAATAATGAAAGATGAGGCATAAATGAACTGGCCCTTTAAAATATTATTTAGGGATATTTTAAGGGGAGCTCAATAAACCAACTTTCTTACTCAATTCATATTACTACTACAAACTCATCCATTTTATAATACTCGTCCAATTTATAATAGTAATGAGGTTGCAAAAGTGTTTCTTAATGGTACATGGTTTTGAGTGCACAAGGAGAACTTATTAACACACAATTATCTTACAAAATGCTAAAATGCTTTCCTTTCTGATAAATGTTCTATCACAAAAAGTAAAAGCAAGGCAGATTATTAATAATTATTTGCTAGATTACAGATGCCCACTAAATTAACATCCATTATAAATGGATTTTGTAATTTACACGATTTTTAATTAATTACAGTTAATAAAAAAGAAGACTCGGAATATTGCATACACTTTTAAAAGAGCTTACGAGTAGTTTCACGTGCTGACCACTTGCAACTCAGAGGCACTTACGTAAGATCATGGTACAGCTACACCACAACACTTATAAAGAAGCCTTCTGTAAGGAATACCTTTTACTGGGTTTCTATTAAATCATACATTACCATTCAATGAATGGCATATGATTTACTCATAACACTATTAATATAAAATATGTTTAGATTATTTCCTTTATTTTCTTGTAGAATACTAAATGACTTTTTTAAACAAGCACTCTATCAAGATTAAATTGATACTTTAATTTTAAACAAAGAACTAAAGTATTCAGCACTTTTAAGAGGTTCAGCACTAAGAAAATGTTTAACTCGACCTACATACGCGGTATATCCAGTAAGCCCATCATATACAAATGATTCCTGTATCCTCATTTCTCCCATACAGTGCTCCAATACCATACAAGCTATACCATTACATACTTCTGCTGAAATAAGGAACAACTGCAAAGAAAACAATATATGGAATGAACAATCTTAAACATTACAGTACTGTACTTGAAAATCAATTGAACGAGTAAGTAGTAGTAATAGAGAAGATAACTGGAGACTTATTGCCGTGTCATCTAGGGCTCAACGGAATGCTTCTCAAGAAAGTATGAATCAAAATAAAATGCAACAAACTTCAAACTGTACTAGAGAAATATATTTACATAATGCAAATTTTTTTTTTATAATAAAATTGAGAACTGCTTGTGTTGGATACGTAAATAAGATACCTAAATATTTATGAATTATTTAATTTATAAAAGCAAGGTACAGTATTAAAGTAGTAAATTACTATCAAGGATAAAATATACATCAAAATTCTTATTTACACTATGCAACACAATTAAGAAAGAGTTGGTAAACTCGACAGGAAACTTACTAATACCATAATCAAAAAGTTAATAAAAATGTTGTTTTTACTGGCAACTGAATTCAGTAACCAGTAAAAAGAGGAAAACCTGAATTAAATCATTCTTAGTTTGGAAATACAAGTTACAAAAGATATCAGTAAAACCCTTCAGGCTAGTGATTACCGGAAAGTAGCTACATTTAACACATTCACTAAGATTCTTCTTCATTCTGTATGCCAAATTTACACAAGTAACTGTACTTTCAGAAATCTGAATCATGACAATGGCTATTTATTAATTGTTTCTGTTTTAAAAATTATTTATACCTTGCTTATTTAAAAAGGAAGCAATCAAATGTTTTAAAAGCAGCACTAAGAATTTTTTTTATGAAGATGGTACTGTATTTCTTTGACATAAGTATGCAAGTGAAAGTGTTCATAAACACATTAAGTTGACCAAACCACACACTAGAAAAAGAAGGGACGACGACATTTCGGTCCATCCTGGACCATTCTCAAGTCGATCGTCAATCAACTTGAGAATAGTCCAGGACGGACCGAAACGTCATCGTCCCTTCATTTTCTAGTGTGTGGTTTGGTCAACATACTTCAGCCACGTTATTGTGACTCATTGTCTGCAAACACATTAACTTGCTTCAGTAGTAACAGCCATGATGCTGGCTTGTTAATCTGAGGCTGCCTTAATGCAGTAAGTATTTACAGGTATAACATTGAATTATACAAATTAGCTAGCCAGAAGGTAACATTAACAACCAATCCAGGTTCTCCTCAGCTTACACAAGAGGATTGAAAAAAGGTCTCTATCCCCCTACATAGAAGAATATTTACATCAATTAGCCAATAATAAAAGATGGTAACTTTAGTTAATACTCTCTGTAGGAAATGAGCTTGTTGTTCATTATATGTAAAGCCAATGCTCAGTGAAAGCAACATACTATCTTCATTCTGGTAAACAGCTAATTGTGTGGATCCATGTACATAGGAAAGAGACCCATGACAATCAATTTTAGGAAAAACAAAATATTGCAATAAATAAAAGCAGTAATCTAGCATGCATGTTAGTGGGTTAAGCTCCCAGCTCAATGTGGATAATCCATAATATGGATGCAAGTCATCCATAAAGACCTGGAAGCTAAAGTAGCGAGTGTGCATTACTGTACAGAGAAATTATCCACAATTGATCATATTCATGATTCAAGTAGCTATTAACAAATTAACAAAAAATCACATCAAAACCAGAAAAAACTTCTGTTTAATTAGAAACCCTTACTGTATATTATTGTTGTATTTATTAGAGTGAAAATAATACCACCACCATAGAACAAACACTTCAAAATTTGTATAGAGCTCAGTCAAGTAAATTTATTCCACATAAGAATTAAGATGACTGCTTAGATTAAGCAATACAGTACCAGCAATTTAGAGCCCATGCACTGTAGTTAAATTATTTAGTGTACAATACTGTAATAAAATACACAGCTTGTGAAACTAAACTAAAACCCTCCAAATGCAGTATAGTACTCTATTATAAGAATTTATTTTACTGTAAATCATGATTATGTCCAATTAACAAGAATTTTCCTTTAATGAATCTTAAAATTACTGTACAGTATTGTATAGCAGTTTCTTTCAAAAGAACAAGAAAGAAAGAAAACAGATTTGTAATCTCACATAGGACAAAAATGTGTACAATAAATGAACCTGCATGCAAGGATGCTCAATTTCCCTTAAAAACTTGAGTCTTGAAGCAGGCACATCAATTGTTGACTAAAGCTGCTCTCATCGTGTACTGCGGACTACAATAGAGAAGTATTTCATGCAATAAGCAGCATCTAGTGCACTTAATCAATTGCATGCATTTCTCAAGCCTTTAATTATGCCTTAAGCAGCACAGAAGAGTACCTACGTTCATGTGAACTGAGCCATCAGTCAGATTTTTTAAATATTCTTTAACAAAATGCATATTTATGCTCAATTAATAAGGTAAGCCTGAACTTTCACTGCTACTTCCTAAATTTACATACTACACAGAAAAAGACAAATTTATAAAAATAAGTATGGAACAGACAAATATTAACTTTGAAAACATGGAATTGAAATAAAAGTTGCCTAGAAAATCAAAACATATTAAAGCATGCATTAAATTATTGACTAGTGATGCAAGGAGATACAGTACTGCACAACCATTTCACTAGACAATAGGCATACCAAGTACAACTCTCTAAGAAAAATTTGTCATGAACGTAGCTACAATTCCGCAGAGATACATCATACAACGGCCAACTACTGGATGCATATGAACTCCTGGAAACTCCCAAGTCATAAGCCTCACAAGAAATTTGTGTGAAAGGGGGAAAAAGTGTCCCACATATACAATTGTACAAATTATTTCTTAAACCCACAGCTAACTGCTTTCCAATGTTATGTTTATTGTTCATGTGAATGTTACTCTTCTAAAACTAGAATATCAGACAATCCTTGTTAATTTGAATCTTCTACATTAAGATATTTTTTCTAATACCACAACAATCATTATAGGATAACACATCAAAAGAAACACACACAAATGAACAAGGATAGAAACCAGGTTGAATAATATTTACCTGAGCATTAGAGAACATGTTAGAATATGAAATTCATTAAGATAAGGAATCAATAGATGAAAGTAAGTATCAATTTGGTAATCCCAATTGATGAAGATAACGCCTATTGAAATATGACTCGTTAATCTGCCAAATTCTTCTTGATGCATTCATAAACACTGCCTATTAATACAATAAATATTTTTTACACCAACAAACCTAAAGTTATTATGATGTATCATTTATTAAATAATCATAATTAATTTAAAGGCCAAATACAAAAATGTAAAATATTATATGTTATACCTATTCACATTTCCCAATACATGTAGTTGTTTCAATGTCAAGCAAAATAAATATGTTGAGTAGTAATACATTTTAAAACGAATTGCAATAAACAGTAACTTCAGTCTAGCATGTTTTCTACACATTTAGGCTATGTAATGGCCGATATAAGTGCTGATAAACGTGACACTCACGATGTAGGTACAAGAATAAAAAACTTCCAATTGGCCCATACAAGGTGAATATTATTTATATCCAACTCCTTCATATATACCACATGTCTAACCTATGTGTGAAAAGATCCAGTATTCCCACATTTATGTTGACTTATAATTTGTTCCTAACTGAAAGGGGCACAAGCCAATCTCTCACAGTGTTCAAAAAGAAAACTTTTAAAATACTGTACCGCCAAAGGATACCTGATTAACCAGGCCGTGGCTTGTATGTCAGGCTGAGCAGCAGCAGCATCTAATAGCCTGGTTGATCAGACCACTAATCAGGCCTGGTCACAGCTGGTTGGGGAAAGGCTATTCCAAGAACCCTCACGAGGTAGGTGGTCATGCTGCATTTCTCCATAAGCCATTACAATGTCAGAAAACACTTTGTTTTATTGCAAAACTGCACTGGTGGACTACAAAGTTGTAGGCTTTAAGTTAGGGTAGTAAACACCATCTTCAGAGAATTATTATTCACAGAAAAAAAAGTATGCCTGGAACCGTGTGTCACTGAGGT